CCAAGCCATCGATTATTTCACCTAGAGCTATTTGATCTAATAAATAATATGACCCCAAAAATATTTTCTAATACAGTTAACCCAAATACCCAACTAATCAAATCACTAAAATATACTTCAGAGTCATTTCAAAACAATTTAGCAGATCTCCCACACTCCTTAACAAATCTAGAACTTGGTCTCTCATATTCCAGAGATTTATCGCAAATAAGGTATTTAAAATCTCTTGTCGCTCTAAAACTCTCAATCAAATTTGTGTACTTTTCTTTTGATGACAAAAAACCAAATCAGTTTCCAGATAGTCTAACACTATTAGAGTTGGGTACAGATTCGATCTCCTATCTTTTACGTTCCTATACCTGCCAAGGTGGTGTGCATCATAAAAAATTTCAAATCAATAACACTTGGATACCAAAAAATATAAAAAACTTGATACTTTGGGGAAATCCAACATACATGCGACAAAGTCAAGAATCTTTAATACCCCAATCGATATATATACACAACTCGAATAAAAATTTAAATGAAATCATAAATCAAGATCAAAATTTATTTTTAGAGAAATTCAGAACTTTAAATACAACCAAAATGAAAAAAGTTTATAAAAATATATTAAATAAATATATAAAACAAAACAACCTAATAAATTAAAAAAATAAAACAAATTTATAAACATTGTTTCAAATTAAAAAAAAAACAATAGAATAAAATGTTTTGTAAAAAAAATTATATTTTTGGTTCAAATAAAGAGAAATAAATTTTAATTTTTATTTAGTTAAATTTAATGTTCTTCAAATAGATAATTGAAGATAAAGATAAAGTAACAACTATTCTTTAATAATCAATTTTCTTTCTTTTTAAAAACAAAAAGAATAAAATGAAAAAATATAAATTTAATATAAATAGTTTATGTCAGAACTTCTTAGATTTATTCCTCACTGTTTTGTTTTGCAATGTCAGTACAGGTCTGTTTTTTTCATCATATTAAACTATTTATATCATCTTTATATAATTCAAATTATAAGATTTGCAAATAGAAAAAGAAGAAAATCGGCCACACAAGAATACAAAGACAATTCAAAAAAGATAAAGAACGAATCAGGACAGTTATTTCATGGTTTCAAGATAAAAGAGATAAGAGCAAAACCTATAGTTATAAAATAAAATTTAAATGTTAATAAATAAACTTTAAAAATAACCATTATTATTTAAAAAAAACTATGTATTTTTTTATTTTTTTAAAAAACAAATATTTGTTTATTTAAAATTGGGTCAGTAGCAAAACTGGCGTGTTTTATCCGTATGTCAGCAATGATGTTGCAGACTGGGGCGGTGTGTATCATCATACAATTTTAAATATTGATATACAAATGTTTTTTTTTTTTATTTATTTTATTTGTTTAACTTACTATTTGAGTTGCTGCTTAATGAAAAATAATTATTTAATTTTTTGTTTTTATAGGTTTTTAAAAAACGAAAATTTTTTCAGAAACGCAAAAAAAAAAAAAAAAAAGTTTTTTATTTTTTCATTTTTTGTTTTTTTATAAAATATTATGTAATTTTTTTTTACATTAATTTTACAAAGTTTTTAAAATATTTTTATATTTGGCCAAAATTTATTTTATTTTTTAAATTTTAATCTATCAAATAATCAATATATGCAATTTACATTCATTACCATTACTATAAATATTAAAAATCGTTATTTCACTAATATATCACTGTTGTGTTTAAAAAAATAATATGAAATTATTTTTTTTTCTTTAAATGTATCCAAATTTTTAAAATAAAAATAAAAAAAGTGTTAAATATTAAAATGAATAAAAATATTAATATTATTATTTGTTATAAATACATGTTTGAACAAAAAAAATAATATTCATTGAACAAAATTTAATTAATTTTATTTTACTTTTATTTTTTTTTATTATAAAAATAACTAAAGTAATCTCATTCTAAAAAAATTTTCTTCAAAACCTAAAAGAAGTATTTTTTCAAAAATGAGAGGGGAGAGGAAACTTAGATTAATCATTCATTTTTTTTTTTATTTTTTTTTTATTTTTTTATTTTTTTTTTATTTTTTTTTTCAAATTTTTTTCAAAATTTTTTATTTTTTGCTACCTTATACGTCATATAAAAAAATATATCAAAAATAATTTTATTTTTATATATATATTTATATATGTATCAAATATATATATATAAATAAATAATTTTATAATATTAAAAAATATTAAAAGAAAACTTTTTTTTTTTATTTTTTTATTTTTTATTTTTTATTTTTTTAATTTTATTTTTTTTAATAATTTTTTTTAATAATTTTTTTTAAAATTTTTTTTTTTTGTATTATAATAAATTAATTAAATAATTATCATTTTTATTTTAGTAAAGGTTATTTGTGTTTAGTTGTATCAAATTCTCTTTTATTTTTTGTTTTTTTTTTTAAAATCATAAAAGAAACCATATTATAAATAATAATAATAATATTTTATTAAAATAAATATTAAATAGACTGGATTCTAAAGAATTTTTCAATAATATTGGTAATAATAATAATAAAGGAGGTGCAGAAGAGGAGGAAGTTATAGCTAGAGAGGAAGAAGCTTTAAATCAAGAAGAAATATTTCCTAATAATAATAGTACAGAAGATATATTACCAAATATTTTAGAAAATAGTGGTAGTGAAATTAGTAGTACAAGTAATCAATTTAATGTTTCACATCTAGTTAAAACACCCCCAGTAATACCCTTTACAGATTTAGATACATTTTCAGATTATGATTTAAACTCTGAACTATCATTAGAAGAAATCAATAATAATAGTAATAATAATAATAATACCTTTGTAACTTTAGATATAAATAATAATAGTAATAGTACCAATAATAATTTAGATTATTCAGAAACAAAAGTGGATACTCAATTTAATCTTGACTCAACATCAAATAATACCACAACAAATACATTAAAAAGGAGTGGTAGTATTGGTAATAGCAGAAAAAGAATTAACTCTGTTGGAGAAGCAGCATCATCATCAGCAAATCATTATATCGGAGCTAGTAGTTTAAACTCTAGCATTATAAATTCAGAAACGGAATCTAAATTAAAGACATTACATAAAAATAAGAGCAGTGATCACCACATGGGTCATCAAAAGGGTATTGGTATAATGGGTTCGAATAACATAAATACCTATAACGATGACGATGAGGATCACCCAAATAAATACAATACCGATAATAATACAGGAGCAATCCTAACTTCATCACACCACCGGGATGGAGATGATAATAGTGATGATGATGGAAGTGACCAAGAATCCGATATCCATCAACCATTAACCCAAGCAAATTTTTATAAAGTTTATGAAAATCATATGAACAGTGTTCCAAAGAAGAAATGTAAGATAATAATAATAATAATAATAATAATAATAATAATAATAATAATAATAATAATAATAATAATAATTGTAAAATTTACACATAAACTAACTTTATATTTTTTTTTTATTATATAGTTGTATATCTATTCCCAGTTTGGTTAGAAGAAAAATTAAGGAAATTTGATGATCCAATTATAAGAGCTTGTCAATTTTATACAGGAAAACCAATGTATTATTTTAGTTTATTTATTACAGCTTTAGTAGCGGTAGAGATTGCAATGATAGCACCCTTTTTTTTATTTATTATAGGCCAAGATACATTAGCTACAGAATTTACATATTTAGCATTACTTTTGTCATTAATTTCACAAGTGCCAAAACGTTTCCTTTGGCGTTTCAGACCATATATGGTAAAGAGAGCGAAAACAGTTAAAAAAGATATGACATCCTCATTTCCATCACGTGCAGTAACCTGCTCAGTTGTATATAGCTATGCAGTAATATGGATCGCCACATATTATCAAGATCATCAAAACACAACAGTCGAGTGGTGGATGCCAATCATGTTTGTTTCATGGGTATTGTTATCTTCATTTGCACGTATCAATTTAGGTGTACATTATCCAAGTGATTGCGTTGGTGGGGTTATTCAAGGTGCTATAGTTTGTATTGCTGGCACTGCTTTTAGAAAGGTTGATATAGTCGGTTGTCGTTCTTGTTGGGATGATTCTTGCTATGCTGCTATAGATTCTGCTCAAGAAATAACGTTTGCTCATATGAGCCGTTTAAATTTTATAATGCTAGTATCTTTAGTCTTATTGTTTTTAGTTGTACCAATAGTTTCCGTTATGAAGCCTGTCGATTTTTGGTCAAAATGTGATCGTGTCTATGGTATGTTGTTCCCAGCCATCGCTTTCCAATTATTATTGCTTTGTCCAAGTAGTTATCATTTAGGTGGATCTTTATCGAAGCCACACAACCCACATTGGTATTCTTATATATTTGGTGGTGTTTTAGCTTTATGTGCAACAGTAATTATTACACTATCTATTTCATTCAATACAATTTATTATCAATATTTATTAACATCATCCATTTTTTTTTCTATAGTTAATACCAGCAAAGGCTAAAATTGATGCAAAATATTCAATTGTTACATTTTGGGTTTTATTCATAGTTTTAGCAGGATCATTATTTTCATGGAGATTAGGAATGATAGGTTAATATAAATTTTATATTTAAAAAAAGTTTTCAAATTAAAATTATAAATAATAATAAATTCAGTAAAACAATAATAATAATAATTATATAATAAACTCAGTATAATATTAATTATTAAAAAAACAGATAAAAATTTTAAAAAATAAATAGGTAATAGAGTTAAAAAATTATAATAAAAAAAAAATTCAAAAATAATTCAAAAAAAAATTCAAAAATAGTTTTGTATTTATTATCATTTATTCATCTTTCATTTTGCCACAAAACTAAAAAAAACAAATACCTTTCAATAGCTTTTTAAAGTATACCTATTGTTATGTATCATCTATAATACCTTTTATTATAATTAAAAAATATAATAATATTAGATTATCATAAAAAAAAGAAATTATTCATTAAAAGGAAAATTTCTATCTGATAGATTTCCTTTTTGAGTCTATGGTATCATAAAAAAAAATTTAATCTTTTATTATCTGAATGCTGTGTATCGTGTGGTTGATAAAAATTGTTTTGTTGTTTTATTAATTTGTATTCAAACTTGTGTGATATAAATAATTTAAAACAATTATTATAATTCAAAAATATTATAAAGAGAAGAGAATTAAATAAATTTATATATTTATTTATTTTCAATATACAGGGTTTATATGTTGTAGAAATTGTAATAAAAATAGAACAATAAATAAAAATAAAAAATGTAAGTCCTATAAATCAAATTTATTGTAATAATTTTGTTTTTAAAATAAAATCTGAGATATATGAAAAATAAGAGGGGTAGAATTTTAATATTTTTGAATTTTTAGTTTATTTATATTTTTATGTGTGGGATGTTTTTTTTTTTTTTTTTGTGTGTGTGTGTTCGAGATTTATTTTGCATACAACAATTACTTGACATGTGTGATATTCGTGTTTTTTTTGTATTCAAATAGTATTTATTTAATTAAGATAAAAAAAAAAAGTATAATACTTTTTTATTTTAAAAGTGTTACTACCAAATCCTATTTTTATTTTTATTTAAAAAAAGAATTTAAAAAAAACAAAATGACATAACTAAAATAGCAATTGCTAATGATATAAAAATAAAATTGGTATACACAATTTACTCTGGTGTGTCATTAAAAAAAAAAAAAAAAATTTTAATCACAAAATAAAATAAAAAATAAAAAAATAGAAAAAAAGATACCAATTAAATTGGGCAATATTTGCAGCTTGGGAACAACAAAAATAATTTTTTTTTTTTTATTTTTATAATATTATTTTTATAATAAAAAACACACATGAGTCAAGGCGCGTTCATATGATCCGTGATATAACCGACAAAAGGTAATTATGAATTTTTTTTTTTTTTTTATTTTTATTTTAATTTTTTTTAATTTTTTTTTTTATAAACATTTAAAATAAAAATAATAAATAATTTTTTTTTTATTTTTTTATAAATTTATAATCATATACTCCCAAAAAGAATATTTCTAATTCATCCAATAGTTTTTAGATAGTTAAAAGAGTAGTAGTTTGAAAAAGAAATTTTTAAAAAATTTTTAAATAATTAAAAAAAAAACTAAAAAACTAAAAACTATTTTTTTTTTAAAATTTTTTTATTTATTTTAATTTTTTTCATTTTATATCACAATTAATTCGTTGATAACTGCATCGTTTTCTTTTTCTTTTTTTTTTTTTTTTTTTCATAATCTTTAATACAAAAATCTCAATTACTTTTAAAAGTAATAATCACTAAATAAATTCTTTGTATTATTTAGATAATATCACACATATACATATATAAAAAATAATGGACACAACTACATCATTCCCAAAAGATAAAATTAAAATCTTATTATTAGAAAATATTCATTCTGCTGCAATTAAACAATTCAATGACCAAGGTTTTCAAGTAAGTAGTATTTAATGGTTTTGTGATAAATCATATCTAAAACTATAATTAACTAATTTTATTTTTATTTTTTTTCATTTCCTTTTTTTTAATTTATTTTTTTAAAATTTTAAAATTTTATATTTTTCATTGGATTTTTTTTTTTTTTTTATCTTTTTATTATTTTTTAATTAACAATTAATAATTAATAGGTAGAATCAATTTCATCATCATTACCAGAAGAAAAAATTATTGAAAAAATTAAAGATGTCCACGTTTTAGGTCTTAGAAGCAAAACTAAAGTCACTGAAAAGATATTAGATGCAGCCAATAGATTATTAGCAATCGGTTGTTTTTGTATTGGTACCGATCAAGTAGATTTACATGCCGCTGAAAAAAGAGGTATCCCAGTTTTCAACTCACCATTTTGCAACAGTCGTTCAGTAGCCGAGTTAATTATCGCAGAGATCATTATTCTTTCAAGAAAATTAGGTGATCGTAGTAAAGAAATGCACGAAAAGAAATGGAGAAAAGAGTCTAAAGCTTGTCACGAAATTAGAGGTAAATCATTAGGTATTATTGGATATGGTCATATTGGTAGTCAACTCTCAGTATTGGCTGAAGCTATGGGTATGTCAGTTTCTTACTATGATATTGCTCGTCGTCTTCCATTGGGTAACTCTAAAATGTGTCCAGATTTAAAGAGTTTATTAGAATCAAACAATTTTATTACCTTACATGTTCCAGATACTGAACTCACTAGAGGTATGATTGGTGAAGAAGAAATCAATACAATGAAAAAAGGTACCTACCTCTTAAATGCCTCACGTGGCAAAGTAGTTCAAATCCCACATTTAGCCGCTGCTCTTAGATCTGGCCATTTAGCTGGTTGCGCCGTTGATGTTTATCCAAGTGAGCCAGAAGCTAATTGCGATGATTGGGAAACTGAACTCCAAGGTTGTCCAAATACTATTTTAACACCACACATTGGTGGCAGCACAGAAGAAGCTCAAGAAGCTATTGGTCTCGAAGTTAGTGATCTCATCATTTCTTTCATTAACAGTGGTGCCTCCGCTGGTTCTGTTAACTTCCCAGAAGTTACCATGCCATATAGTCCATCAACTCATCGTATTCTCAATATTCATAACAACAAGCCTGGTGTTTTAAGAGTAAATAGTGACAATACATTTTATAAAATCATACAATAGTGGTTTTATATGGTGTTTTTTTTTATAGTTATGATTGTTTAATTTGTTTTTGTGTAGATAATCATATATGTGTTTTTTATATATACTTTGTTTTTTTTTGTATTTAACTATCAACTTTAAATTGTATTGTCAATAGGGGTTAAAGAAAATATCAAAAACAACAACAACAACAACAACAACATTACTATCAATATCAACATCAACACCCATCCAAACCCATCCAAACCCATCAATACCCATCCACACCTACACCAACATCAATTCAAAAACTCTATTTAAACACCATTCGATTATTTAAAAATAGTTGCAACATTATATTCATATATTATAATTATATCATTATATCCATATAATATTATCTATATAGTCATTTATCATTATATTTATATCCATTTACATATCTATATATATTTTTGCATTGTTAAATTTATCAAGCAACCAATCACCACCCAATATCAGCTTTTATTATAACAACCCAACTGCGTTTTATTGGAATTTTTAGTTTTTTATTTTTTCAAATTATCGTCATAACTATAATTTTTTTTATTTGTTTCACTTTTAAATATTAAATATTAATAATAATTTCACTTTTCTCTTTTTTTGTCTTTATCTTTCCTTTCTATAATTTTTGTGTATTTTTATTTTATTTTTTTTCCTCAAATAATAAACAGGATATCAATAATATTTTATCAGAATTCAATGTATCTGGTCAAGTACTTTCAACAAGAAAACAAATTGGTTATATTATTGCTGACGTAGATTCCAAGGCTTCCAAAGAAATTAAAAAGAAAATCAGCGATCTTCCAAACTCTATCCGTACCCGTATTCTCTATTAGATATAATTCATTAGTTAAATTATTAATTTAATTTAATATATAAATTTATAATTAATAATAATAATAATTAATAGTAATAATAGAAACAACAGTAATATTAATATATAATATTATTGTCCAGTTCTATTTAGTACTATTTTTAAAATATCTATCCATCCAAAAAAATCCAAACCAATTTGTAAATTAGCAAATCAAAAAAATATAAAAAAATAAAGAAATAAATTAAAATATTATTTATTTAAATAAAAAAACAAATCAACGCATTAAAAAAAAGGCTCACAGCATCTGAATCTATCTTTTTTAAAAATTATGATAATTTTTTTTTTTTATGAAAAAAAAAAATCAAAAAAATCAATAAAATCAAATTTTGTTGATTGTCTCACAAAAACCCATTTTTAACTCATAAAATGCGGTTTATAAAAAAAAAATGAATTAAAAAACTTTTTTTTTTTTTTTTTTTTTTTCTTTTTTTTTTATTTTGTTTTCCTAATATATTTTATTTATTTATTTATTTATATATTTATTTGTAAAAATGAAATTACTTGTTTTATTATTACTCGCTTTTATTGTTTTGGTCAATGGTCATGCTGTTTTGTAAATATCAAAAAAATAATACAAAGAGCCAAATAAATAAATCGAAAAAAAGAAATACACCAAAAATAAAAAATAAAAAAATAAAAAAATAAAAAAAAAAATAAAAAAAAATAAAAAAACACTCAACCAAATAAAAAAAACACTTAACAAAATAATTTATTACAAAAAAAATAGATAATAATAACTATTCGATTAATAAAATTATTAATTGTTTATTTTTTTTTATTTATTCAGAGTTAAACCAACACCTTTTTCAAAAAATCCATCAACTGCACAACCATGTGGTGCAGGTACTCCACAAACCACAAATACTTTAGGTAAAATTTGCAGAGGTAAAACTAACACTTTTGTTTGGGATGTTGTTGTTGGTGATGGTACTGGCAAAGTCACCTTTAAACTTAGCACCAAAAACGACAAAAATAATTTTGATGTAACCCTTGGCACTTCAGTTGAAAACCCAGATAAAGTTGGTACTTTTTCACTCCACGTTGACATTCCTAAAGATGCACCAGAGGGTAATTTCCTTATTCAAGCTTCTTCCTCAACAAAATGGAATTCATGTTCATTCGTTCAAGTTACTGATGATTGTACTGAAGATGAAAACCCAACTACTGAAGTCCTTGCTTTTGGTACCGGTGATGCTAAATTCTGTCAAATGAAACTTGGTAAAAGCGTTGTTGTTCCAGTTGGCACTGTTCTTACTGAGGCAGATGATGACACCAAAGCAGTTTTCTCTAGAAATATGAATAACATAAATGTTATTGGTACCAATACTTCCGAATGTGGTTCCTTATATAAACCAATTTTATGTGATACCACTTTCCCATTAGCCCCAGGTTCCGATGGTAAACCAGTTTACCAAGTTAGTTATGATGATTGTACTAGTTTCATCAAAACTTGTGATGTATCTTCACATATTGACCTTTACCCATGCGGTATCTACAAAGCTGGTTTGGAAAATTCTTCAAGCAAACTTACCATCTCTGCATTCTTTGCTATTTTAATTTTTTCAATTGTTTTATTACTTTAATTTTATTAAAAATTAATTAATTAATTTGCTTAAAACAATTAATCAAATAAAAATCACCCGAAACCTTATTTATTTATTTATTCAAAAAATTAAATCCCTACTTTTTTTTTTTATTTTATCGATTTTTTATTAAATTTTTTTTTTTGTTGATTTTTTATTTAATTTTAAAAATTGGTGATTAAATGTTTTGTGGGTTTTTTTTTTTGTAAATTAATAACATTACAATGGAAAAAAGAAAAAGAATAACTTTATTTAATCTGGAGGAAGAAATAAATAAAAACAGAGTTTCTAAAACAAAGGATAAATCAAAAAAAAAAGAAACAAATCAAACTAAGACAATAATACCAAATAAAAAAATAAATAATAAAAATTATTTTTTCAAATTATCAGATAACTATATATTAAATGGATCTTCATTATTTAGTGACGAGGTATTTTATGTAAATAGTGATATTAATAAAAAAGAATATGGTAGCATTTTCTGTAAAGACAAAATTCAAATTGGTGATGGGATCAAATGTGAATTTTCATATCAAATACTAGAAAAGAAATCAACAGATAGTTTTTATTTTATTATTCACAGCTCAGAAAATTTCTCTTTTAGAAACCTTGGACTTGGGTCAAAGGATAGTTTCATAGTGGTTAAATTTACATCAATGTTTTCGTCCAATGATCAGTTTTCATTTTTATCAGCAGAGGTCCTCAGTTCTCAAGTAAAAAATGGTACATCAAACTATTTATCAATGGGGTCAAAAAGTTTTAGTAATAATTTAAACGATTCAAAATATATAATCAATATTTCATATAATAGAAAAGCTTCAAAAATTTCGATACAATTAAACAGTGATGAAAAATTAGAAAATATAAAGATACCATTTAAAATTCCATCAAGATGTTATTTTGGGTTTGCAATAGAGGAATCTTATCATTTTCAAAAAAATCTAATCCATTTTTGCAATTTATCAATATAAAAAATTAAAAAAAGTAAAATAAAATGTAAAGTTTTTTATTCTCTTTTTATATAAAAGTACAACAATTATTTAATTCTTTTTTTATTGACTTTCGAAATAGATAAATCTATAGGGAAATTGAGGTTTGAAATGAGAGAGTTCAACGAGTTTCCAATCAATATTGATGGTTACTTTTCCTTGATCTGAAATTTCTATCATTTTGAGATATGGGAATCTTTTTTTTGATAGGTGTTTAAACAATTCACTTACTGTATTTTGGATTGTAGTTTCGAAACATTTGTTATCACATAAAGGTTTATTGTCTTTATAGTCTTTTTCTAATTGAGTTCCCAGCGCATTATATACCAATGTTAAAGAAAACTTTTCTAAATAGATTGCTCTTTTTAATATTTTTAGAAATGGAATTACATATTGTAGTTTTGTTGTTTGATCTATTATAAATTCTAGTGAGGTGATTGTTTCCTGCTTATTCCTTTGTGGATGTGAGATGAATGAATGCAATACAAGTTCGGGTGGTATTTCATCCACTATTAGAGTAAATTCTGGTACCCTACACATATTATAGCTTGTGTGATAATATGTAAAGAAATCCATGCAAGTTGTACTGATATTTTGAATGGTTACAGTGTTGATTTTTAACATGTTCAATGCATTTAATCTTTTATCCTTTCTACCATTGTAACCATAGAGATGAATATAAAAGTTTTTGCCACAGTTCTCTTTCGTAAAATCTTCAAATGATTGCTTTTTAATATTAAATTCTTTTGGATACGAGTTTAAATCTACTTGACAGTATTCATAATCATTTTTATTTTCTAAATATTGATCCTTCAAATAGCCATACAGGTCACGGAACCCACGAAAAAATTCGCAAAATCTATAGAATGGAATGCTTTTAATTGTAATGCTCTTTAATGATTTTATAGAATCCAATATAGCAATAGAGTTAGCATCTAATTCTGTCATACCATGTATTTCTAATGTTTGTAAATTTTTGAATATCTTGAGAACTGAAAGAGATGGGTCTATAAATTTGGAAACTGAATAACAAAGAAATTTTACACTATTTGGATTTAGCAGGGAGAAGTTGTGGAAATTATCCTCTTTTATATTATAAATACATTCTCCTATATCGATCGGGATTGTTGTTGAATTATTCATATTCTCTTTAACCACGTAATAAAATTTCTTACATACTAGCGCTAGGTTTAATTTTCTAATTTGCATTGTGGAAAAATCGTTTAATAATAAACACACTATTTTTTTTAATATGTTGTCCGGAAAAGTTGTATCAATAATACTGAATAGTAGCGGAACTCTACAAATCTCTTCTTTCTTTTTATAATAAAATGAGTTTTTAACAGTTTCTTTAAAAATGGGTACCAAGTGCTTATCCAAGAAGCTAAAGTCCATGGAAACTATAAGAATATCCAGTACTGATAAAATAAATTGTTGTTTTATTTTTTCTTTATTTATATTTGAAAATAAATCGTATATAAATTCTGGATGTTGTAAAAATTTGTTTTGTCTTAAAACTTGAAAAGAATACCTGTAAAAACCAAGCATTTTTTTTAAATTCTTTTTATTTGTAATAAATGGTAGCATTACATCTTCAACTTTGAATATTGACCCTAGTAGAATCTTTTCTTTTAAATCCATTTTAATAGTTTTTAATTCGAAATAATATTGGATGAAGGTGAACAGATCGATTAGTTTTATGTTTAGTTTTTTGCATTGCGATATTATTTTTGGTATTGCAATTGATAGATCTACATTCTTGAATAACCTTACAAAATGTATTATTTTATATTTTTCATAATATTCTTTTTTATTACTATAATTCCCTCTTGCATTATCTAAAAAAAACCTGATAAAATCTAACATTACTTGAAAGTTAAATTCATCTAGTTTTAAAAGTGTTTCAATGGTTTCATTAAAGTCCCTTATTAAGCTGAATTGGTTCCCATAGTTTATAAATAGTTTGGGGTCTCTGTATATTATTGATAAAATTTGATCATATAACTTTGATTGTATAAACGGTGTAATTGATATAAGTGATAGTAGAGCTTCGTTTGTATTCAGGTATAAATAATAGGTATAGGTTTTATAATAAGAGTCTGTTCTACTTAGTGGTTCATTTCTTTTTACAAGTGTTGATAGTTCTACCAGAAGGGAAATATATTCTAAATATTGTCCCTCCTTTATTTTAATTTCTAAAGGATACCCCAAATATATAAAAAATCTAATAACACCTTCGTTATTGTATGAAAAACACTTTCTTTTAAGTTCTTCTTCGTGTGGGTCATCCTCCTTATCTTCTTCCTCTTCGATATCCGGAACATTTTTAATTTCTTGGTCAAATAGAAGGTTGTGATATTCATTGTCATTGTATATACCATGCCACTCTTTGTTTAAAAAAAATGAAAAAAATACTTCGTAAACCCCATTAAAAAAAGCAACAATTCCTTCTTTATAATCGTGGTACCCATCAATTCCAATAATATCTCGAAATGATAGCAGTGAAAATAATAGGTAGAGTAATTTGAAATCTTTGTCAAAGTGGTCATTTTTAAAAGCATTAATAATAAATCTACAATTTTTCTTTACATGATCTACCATTGTTTTTAAAATTTTAATTGAAAAAATCTATTTTATTTAAAAAATAAAATTAAATTAATATATATATATAAATGATTTTATATTTGTTTATTTTTACTTACAGTTTCGAAATGTTGTTTGTTATTTTTAATAATCCCATAGACTCTATGATATTCGTTCATTTTTAAACCATATTCTACCCATTCGGTTATAATTTTCTCGAAATTGTCCCCATTACCATAGTTGAAGTACAAATAGTTTTCATAAGATGAAAATACTATCATTTCATAATATTTAAATGAGTCATATCCTTTTAATTTTACAAAAATCCTTTTTTTATAAAAAATATAAGTAAATTTTTAAAAAATTTAGTTAAATTAATTAAATTTAATTCTTACTTGAAAATGTTTTCTAGTTGTTGTTTTGTTGGATAGATGGTTTCATTATTGAAATCTAAATAGTCAATGAAACTTTGGAAAAACCTGTTCTTGCTTTTATTTTTTGGAACAAATTGTCCATATTCGTCATAATATTCCCCTTTATTACAAAGAAGATAGTCACATATTTTTTCAATATCAAAATTGTCTAAATCAACCAACTCCATGCTCTTCACCATTTTTTTTTAATTCTATTGTAAATATTGGTATTTAAAAAAAAATTTCTTCTTTTTCTTTATTTTTTATAAATTTGTTTTTTTTTTATTTTTTTTTTATTTTTTATTTTTTTTTATTATTTTTTTTTTTATTGTTTTACTATTTAAGGAATTTTCAATGTGTGTTTTTTATTATTTTTTTTTAATAATAAAAAGATTACCTTTTAAAATTCTAACTACTACATTCTTCCACTTTTTTATTTTATTTTAAAATTTACAAACAAAAAAATATTTTTTTTTTTATTATTTGGATGATCTATTTTCAAAAAATAATTCGTTTTACATTAATTACCAAAATCTAAATTTTAAAAAAAAATTATATGGTTTTTATTTATTTTTTTATAATGTAAAGCTTTTAGCTTTTTTATTAAAATAGATGTATTTAAAAGGAAAATTTACTTTAAAGTTATATAGCTTAACTTTTCTCCAACTAATATAAATTGATTTCTTAAAGTAGTCTGATATTTCGATTGATTTAACATTTTTAAATTTCTCTGAAATTGATTTAAATAATAATTCTACATGAAACTCAATGATTTTATCTATATTTGGACTTTGGCCACAGGAGCAATTTGAATGAATGTCATCATCTTCGAGTAAACCGTCACACTTTGCATCATATTGAATCTTTAACGAAACCTTTTCTAAATTGGTGGCATTCTCTAATACTGATAGCATTGTTTGAATTGTTGATATATTACAAATTTTGCTTACAATAAATTCGATTTCTAAAATATTTTCTAGTTTTTTATATTGTCTGTGTGTTTTAAAAGATTCCAATACTTTTTTATCTGGTCTTGTACTTAACTTTAATGAAAAACTTGGTACCTTGCCTAAATGAAAACTGGGAAAATAGTGTAAAAGGAAATCCATACAAGTGGTCTCTATCTTTTTATATTTGATTATGTGAATGTGGTAATTCATTATTTGATTTAATTTGCAGTCGAATTCACCTTTATAATCTTGAATGAACAAATGGAACTCTTTCCCATAAAATGTGTTTTTATACTCTTCAAAGGTATCAACTTTAATATTTAATTCTTTTGGGAATGACTCGCAATCAATTTCATAAAAATCTAGATCTCTTTTAGTTTCTAAATACTGATCTCTTATAAAACCTTGAAATGCATTGAAACCTTGAAAGAACTCGTTAATTCTATTGAATGGCAAAACATTGATTTGAACTGTTTTAAGGGTTTTAATTGAATCGAGAATAAGCAAAGTACTTTCATCCAACTCGGTTAAACCATCGACCTCTAATTTTACCAGAGATTTAAACATTTTTAAAATTGAAAGATTGGGGTCAAAGAAACTGCTTACAGAGTACTTTAAATACTTTACTTTGGATGGCACCAATAATGAATAGCCATTTAAATTATCTGATTTGATGTTGTAAATATTAATACCAATATCGATTGGATATTGAAGTGATGTATTCATTTCTTCAAGAATGATATCTCTAAATTTTTTTGAAACCAAAGAAATTGATAGTTTTCTTATTTGATTAGTTGATGGATCTCGGATTAAAAACAAAAGAATTTCTTTTAAAAGCTCATCCTTGAATACATTAGAGCCTGGAGTTGGATCTGAATCATAACACCACTTTCTTTTCTTTTTAAAATAAAAAGAATTTTGGAGCTGCTCTTTATAATTTTTATATAAAAATCTTGTAATTAAGTTGAAGTCGGTTATTGTTACTATATGATCTAACATTGATATTACAAATTGCTTTTTTATTGGCTGATTGGTAAAGTCACCATACAGATTTTTACAAAATGATGGATGTTGAATAAATGAATGATGCTTTAATACCTGGAACGCTATTTTATAGAAATCTATAAACAATTTCATTTTATCTTTGGTTGTTATATATTTCAAAAAGTGCTCTTCAACTTTGAAAATGGAAGACAATAGTATTTTATCTTTTAATGATAGATGGATCATTTTTAATTTGAAATAGTATGCGACGAACCCAAACAAGTCGATAGGCTTTAAATTTAATTTTTGACACTTCATATTAATTAGGGGTATTGCTTCGGCCAAATCAATATTTTTGAACAATCTGACAAACTGCACAATCTTATTTCTGAAATATTGCTTTTGATTATTGTTGAATTTTCCCTTTAAACTATCGATAAAAAACTTTACAAATTCGGAAAACACTTGATAGTTAAACTCGTTATTGTTTAATAGACACTCGATTGTTGAACCAAAGTCTCTTTTTAAATCAAAATAATTGTTGTAGTTAAAAAAAAGTTCTTTTTCCTTTGAGATGATTGGATAAATTTGACTATATAGCTTTTTTTGAACATAAGGTGTAATTGTGATTAAAAGTAGCAGTGATTCATTTATATTTTGGTTTAAATAATAGTTGTAGGTTTTATAATATGTATCATTTCTCTCCAATGGAACCGTAACGAAATCTTTTGACAGCTCTAGCAACAAAGAAACATACTCGAAATATAAACTTTGGTTGATTTTAATTTCCAATGGTGTTGATAAATATATAAAAAATCTAACGACCCCTTCTGTATTGAAAGCAAAACATTTCTTCTTTGCGTCCACTTCATTTATGCTTAAATCTTCAACAATAAATTGGTTACTGTTTTCTAATAACTCATCTTGGCCCAAGACATCTTCTTCGTCACCACTATTTTCGAAATAATTCTCCTCATTTAAATCATCTGGTAAATTTTCATCGTATGATTCTCTAACAGTCTCTTTCTTTACTTGATTTTTATTTTCTTCAATTACACTTCTATTTCTATATTCATTTTCATTATAAATGCCATGCCATTGTCTATTTAAAAAGAATGAAAAAAAGACTTCGTATACACCATTGAAAAAAGCAATTATACCTTCTTTAAATTCTTGATAATCTTGAATACTGATTTTACCTCTGAATGATAGCAGTGAGAATAACAAATGTAACAATTTGAAATCTTTTCCAACACTATTATTTTTATATGCGCTTATAATATAACTAGTATTCTTTTTGGTATATTGATGTAACAAATTTAAAACTTTAATTGAAAAACTCTTTAAAAATTAAAATAAACTATTAATATTTGCTTATATTTTTATCTCGATCTATAAATCTATATAAAACACAAAAAACACCTACATGATCAAACCAGTCTAAATTATGTTTTATAACCCCATATACCCTATGATACTCTTGCATTTTTAAACCTTTTAAAAAAAATTAATATTAAATTATAATTTATAGATTATTACTACTATTTAATAGCAATAATTACTTACAGTATACCAGCCATGAATATGTAATTTCCTCTTTTTCTTCTTTGTTAAAATTAAAATTTAAATAATCATTGTAGGATGATATTAAAAATATTTCATAATATTTATAGCTATCATAATTTTTTATTTTGGTGAAGATTCTTTAAATTTTAAAAAAAATGTGTTTAATAAAAAAAATTTAAATAAAAAATGAAAAAAAATAAAAAATAAAAAATTAAAATAGTAGTAATGTTATTACCTTTTTAATTTATGAAATTGTTCTTCAGTCGGTTTTAAAATGTCATTATTTGAGTCCAAATATTCTAAAAATATTTGAAAAAATCTATTTTTACATTTATTCTTTGGAACAAATACACCTTGGCTATCAAAAAAATCACCCACATCACTGAGTAAATACGCAGCCATTCTATCTAAATTAAAATTATCATGATTTATTAAATCCATTTAATTATATTTATTACCTTTATTATATTTTAACTATTTTTAACAAACTAATATAAAATTGAAATAGTTTTTGTATTTTTATAAATAAAAAAAAAAAAAATATAAATAAAAACTTTTTATTAAAAAATAATCACCCACAGGGGTTTATTTATTATTTATAGATATTTTATTAATATCTCTAACACACTTTTAAAAAAAATCCATCGTAATTGTAGCTTATATAAATAATATTTTAATATTATTATTATTATTATTATTATCCTCTTTTTATTTATTTTAATGATATATTATTTTATTTTATTTTAAAGAGAATAATTTAAAAAAAAAATTATAATTTAATTTGATTCTTTTTTTTCTTTTAATTCTTCGTTAATTTCCTTTGCACCTTCAACAGTCATCTTTCTGAGTTTTAATGGTCTATTATCTTTTTTGTTATTATTATTATTATTTTCTTCTAAATCCTCTTCATCTAAACTGAGATCTTCGTCATCGCCACCTTTTTTATTACCACCATTTGGGTTTTTGCTATATGAAACATGTTTTCTATATTGTTTTTTTTCGATATTTTCAATGATTTGTTTTAATTCGGCTGGTTTAAAGCTATTTATTGATTGTTCGATTGAGTTGATATTTTTAACTAATGGAGTATCGTTTGAAACTACTTGTAATGATTCCAAGTCGATAGCATTAACGAGGTTTGATTCTTTTTCGGTTTTGAATAATGATACTAATAAAGTGTTTTCTTTGACAAGATCGACAGCGACGGCTGGTCCTTCAACAGTAACTGATTTGATATCAGTAGAGAATTGTAATCCATTTAAAGTTAAAACGTAAACGATTGGTGTATCTTCAACAGTTACAAACAATTGATTTGATGAGGCGTTATAACATTGTGGAATAGTAATTGCACCAGCTTGTTTATCGTTGAAATCGACTGTTTGTAAACATTTACCGCTCTTCCAATCCCATAATTTGATAGTACCATCACCTGAACCGCTGACCATTAATTCTGGTTTATTTGAAAAGACTAAAACCTTAGTGATATATTTAGAATGAGAAAGACAGAATCTTTCAATATCGAAACAATTTGGATAATGGCTAACTCTAATTTTTTCGTCTCTGTCGGCTGATAATAAATAATTGAAACATTTGGTGAATTGAATATCGACAATTGATGAATAATGGCCAAATGCAAGATTCTTATCATTTTCTCTGTCATCGTGTTTATTTGATTTGTCACTTGATTCAACAGCGATAGCATTCTTTGAATCATCAACTAAAGAAAATCTAAAAACATCACCACATTTGTCAGATACCAAAATTTCGCTATCATCTTTATTTAAAGTTGCACAAATAATTTTTTTATTTACATTACTAATAGTATAAAAATTAAATTAATATTTTGTTTTAATATTAATATTTAGTTTTATAAAGATACATACATTGTTTTATAGTTTTTAAAATCTGTAGTATCCCAAAGTTTGATTAATTTATCTGAGCTTGATGTAACAACAAATCTATTATCCTTGCTGAATTCAATTGATCTAACCATAGCAGTATGTTGTTGGGTTTTATCTAAATTAATTAATTTATCGTTAACATTGTCATAAAAATAAAATGTATTATTGATATTGAATGCTGTAAATTTATTATCTGATGAGTGAGTAATGCTTGAGATTGGGATTTTTTCAATGGCTGACATCTTGTATATTTTTATTTTCCTTTTAGAGGTTTTAATAAATCTGTAAAAACTAAAATAAAATTACGAAAAAAAATTAAAAAAAAATTTTTAAAAAAGAAAACTTTTTTTTAAATTTTGGTGAAAAAAAAAAAAAATAAAAATAAAATAAAAATAAAATAAAATAAATAAATTATAATAATTGTTTTAATTTTTATTTATTTGTTTCATTTTAAATATATCATTCCCTATTATATTTATGATTTTAAAATATTATTTCTATATTACAAATATTCATAAAAATACCTGAAATTCCATAAATTGGTCTTATAAAAAATAAAATAAAATAAAAAAAAATAAAATAAAATAAAAAAATAAAATAAAATAATATATATTATGTTTATATAAGCAAATCAATTGCCTTATTTAAAATTATAAAATAAATGTGGGTGGTGAAACAAAAAAAAATAAAATTATTATAAAAACTGAAAATATTATTACCGTTATAGTTTATTCGTTATTTTAAAATAATTTATTTTTAAATTTTTATTTTTATTTTTTTTTTTTTCAAAAAAGCTTTTTTTTTTTTTATTTTTGTCCTCAATGAAAAGATTTTTTTTTATTATCATATTATTTTCCAATACATTATAATAAAATTATATTTTTGTAAATTTGCAATAAAAAATGGATCCAGTCGAAACCAATACAGCCAATGAACAAATTGTCTCACCATTAAAACAATCATCAGCCAATGTTGAAGGTGGTGAATGTGTTACAAATAAATCAGAACTTTTCCGTAAGTTTTTTAATATTTATAATTTTTTTATAATAAAAATAAAAAATAGTTTATTTCATCAACAAATCAAAAAAAAAAATATATTTTTTTTTTTTTTTTATTTATTTTTATTATTTTTAAATATGTTTACTAATTGTGTTCTTTAAATAATTTTAGGTTCTAAATTAGAAAGCCCAAATTGCCTCTTCTGCAATGAAAAGCTTCTTGGTGCCTACGTTTACCAACATTACATTACCTGTACCAAAGTTTTCCTTAAAGAACTTCAATCAACTTTCATCCCATCATCAATTCTTTCATACTGTATTGATAAAGAATTATTAGAATCAGTTTACACTCCAGTCTATGTCCAACAACTCCAAGCTTTAATTAACCAAATGAACGCCCATCTCCAAACTATTCAAAATCCAGTTGCTGCTGCACCAGCCACCCCAGCTTCACCAGCTCCATCCAAAAATGACAAGAAAAAGAAATAAGCAAACCAATCAATAATTAATCATATGTATTAAAAGTAACCAATTCCTAAAACTGTTATTTGATAAATTCACCTAGAATTATTTTTAAAAAAGTATATTTTATTTTAAAAATATACTTTGTAAATAAAAGGTGAAACTGTAAAAATTAATAAATTATTTTTTTTAAAAAAAATTAATATTACAATTGTATTTTTTTTATTTTTTTTTATAGAACATTCATCTTTATTTAAATTTATTTTGGTAATATTTGCAAATAAAATAATGCGAACAAATTGTCGTTTGAATTTTTTTTTTTTTTGCACAAAAATGTGACATAATGATGATTGAAGAAAATTCAGAAAAAAAAAAAAAAAAATAGGAAAAATAAAAAATTTTTACGAGAGAGTGCACACCATATTGTTTTATATATATAATTATTTATTATTATTTTTGCATTTTAATTTTATTTCTTTTCTATTCTTTTCTTTATTTTCTTTTTCTTTTTCATTTTCATTTTTTTTTTTTTTTTTTAAAAAAAAATAAACAATTTAAAAATAAATATTGGGTAGAAAATAATAAAGATGTGGAAATTAGCATCAGCAGCCACTTCGAAAAGATTATCATCATTTTCAAATAGTAATATATTATATGGTATAAATATTAATAATAATAATGGTGGAAATAATGATAAAAAGAAGGAAAAGAAACCAACAGAAACAACTAATACCACAACAACCACAGCACCAAAAGTCACAACCCACATAAATGATGAAAAGAATGTTTTGTTAAAAAAGTTACAGTTATTATCAAAGAAATCAACAGATGACATAACACTAGTTGGGGTTAACAATAGAGATATTAACCATATGACCCGTTTATTGGCAAATTCTGGTATTTCAGTTTCAAAAATAAATAATAAGTTATTATCATTACAAATTAATGAAAGTGAGGGCCAAGCTAGTGATGGTAATGGTAACAACCAAGGCCATTTAAATAGTGGTTACAATAATAGCACAGTATTGAATAATGGTAAAAATAATAACAGCATACAAGATTCATTATCATCTTCATCAGGATCAATTTCTTCAAGTTCATCATCCTCTTCATTAGAAAATACCAAAACAATATCATCAACATCTTCATCAGCATCCTCATCACCATTAAATAGTTATAGCGAAAATAAAATAAATAGTAGATTTAATTCAGAGTTTAATGAATTTAGGGTATTAGGTAAAGGCGGGTTTGGTATTGTTTTTAAATGTTCAAATATTTATGATGGCATGGAGTATGCGGTTAAGAGAATCAAAGTTAATCAACGTATCCCAACCAAAGAATTGATGGAGGTTAGAGCTATGGCTAGATTAAACCACCCAAATATAGTTAGATATTACAACTCATGGATTGAGGAAGAACCAACACACAAGCACACAATAGATCACTATGGCGAATCAAATAACTCTTTATTTGACCATAATGATAACCAGGATTATACGCCATCATCTCTATTGGCAACATCAGAAAACTCTGGAACAATTACATATATAACCAACAACAACAATAATAATAATACATTTAATAGTACAGCATCTAGCGATTTTACAAATTACTCACTAAATGAAAAAAAATATTCGCTATATATTCAAATGGAGTTTTGTAAATATGGATCACTTAGAGATTTATTAAATGAAAATAATAACATCAAATCAATCAATAATGGTATTACCACAAGTATTGAATTGGGATTAAATGCATGTCGTGAGGTTTTAAGACAAATTTTAATTGGTTTAAAATATATTCATTGTCAAGGTATTGTACACCGTGATTTAACACCAGATAATATATTTATATGCCAATCACCTTTTACCATAAAGATTGCAGATTTTGGTTTAGCTACTACAATTGACTCTTTAAAGACAAGCGAAAATAGGAAGGGATTAGGAACTTATCTCTATTCAAGTAATGAACAAGAACAAGGTGGAAACTATGATCAAAGAACCGATCTCTATAGCGCAGCGGCCATATTCTTTGAAATGCTCTCACAATTTAAAACTACAATGGAAAGATCAGCAACCTTAACCAAATTAAAAAATACACTTTCGGTATCACTCACAAGTCCTCAATTGAAACTACAATATCCAAAAGATGCAGATTTCATTGATTGTTTAATTCAACCATTTTTAAATAGGCCCAATTCAAACCAAATTCCAATGGACAATATTTTAGATTTCCCACCAACCTTAGAAAATTTATTAGGGTTTAAAAATAATATTGAAGAAAAACAACAATATCAACAATTTTCTTTACTCCTAAATTAAATTTTATAAAATAAAACTGTACATTTACTTCCCTTTTTTTTAAGAAAATAATTTTGTTTTTTATAAAAAAAGTTTTTATTTTTTTTTTTAATAATTTTTTAATTTGGGTATATTAAAATTAATTAACAAATCCTATAATATTATTTAAAAATTATTATATTTTACCTATTTGTTGCTATATTGTTTTATTATTTATTTACAAATTATTATTATTATTATTATTTATTTTAATCGTCATCAGATTGATAAGATTCATCAGATGAAAAGTCTTCGCTATTATAGCCATCATCGTCGCTGCTATCGCTTTCATATTTCTTTTTGGTTTGTTTATTGGATGAGGATTTTGACGATGAGCTTGATTGGGGTGGTGAGTTTGTTGGAGTGGTTGCTGTTGTGGTTGTGGTGGTGGTTAATTGTTTATTTACATTTTCATTGGACTTTTTATTTTTATCAGCAGGGCCTTTATCATTTACAAAAACAAATGAGACAATATCTTGACAAGCAGCAGCTACTTTGGGGTCTTTTAATTTATCCATTTCGAATACATGTTGCCATGAATTTAATTCGTTAATGGAAAGTGTGTCTCTTTTATGTTTTGGAATACGAGCTGATGGAGCACATTTACAACTGAGCATGTCATGAGTATCACAGATTGTATCTTCTCTATAGTTAAAAATATCTTTAAGGTCTTTGGTGTCAAAAGCTGGTGAATTTTCAGAATCACCTTCAGTGATACTGGTTGAAAGGGCTTGTTTGGTTAATTGACGTTGGAAAATTTTTTCTTCGATTGTGCCAGTTGTAAAAGTACGATAAATTGAAACTACTTTCTTTTGACCTTCTCTCCAAACACGAGCCATAGACTGAGCATCATTGGCAGGATTCCAATCAGCATCGAATAGTACTAAATGATTTCCACCAATAAGATTTAAACCAACACCACCTGCTTTACTACTTAAAAGAAAAGCAAACTCTGGTCTTTTGGGATCGTTATAGAGATCGACTAATTGCTGACGCTTGGCATTTGGTGTTGAACCATCTAATTGAAAGTATGCATATCCACGAGTTTTACACATAATTGCCAAAACTTCCAAAGTTTGGGTATAATTTGAAATGATAACAACCTTATCGCCAGATTTAGAATCTCTAATTTTGGTTAAGAGACGGTCAACAAAGAGTAGCTTGCTAGAGTATTGTGGTTGGAATACCTTTGGGTTCCATTCTTTTGGAAATAGTGAAAGTACAGATTTATCGACTTCGGTTGGGGCTTCTTTATCTGGTAAGTATACAAGCTCTGCACAGTTTGATAGTTTTTTTAAAGTTGTAATTAATGGTAAAGCACCAGAGGCAGAGGCAAAACATGAATCTTTGGCTTCTTTAATTAAATGACGGTAAATTGATTTTTGAAGGTCGGTAAGTTTACAAAATACTACATATTCAACCTTTGGTGGGAGGTATTGGGTATTTACAATGGCAGTACGACGGAGAATAAATTGGCCAGTTAATCTACTTAACTCAGCAGATCTTTCACGACCAATTTTCCTTTCTTCCTCGGTTGCCTCGGGGCTTCTAGATGCAACAATTGGTGCATCATATACATTTTTGAAAGTTGCTACATTTTTAAGGAGACCTGGGTTAACAAAATTAACCATGGCATAAAATTCTGTTAAATCATTTTGGATTGGGGTACCAGAAAGAATAACTCTACGAGGTGTTGGAATCATTGATACAGCTTTAGTGGTTTTGATCTCGGCATTCTTTAAACGATGACCTTCATCACAGATTACCAAACCGATTGATGAAATCTTGCAAACATCTTCACAATAGATACGAAGTTGATCATAGGAGATTATCAAAACATCTGCAGGTCCAAACTCAAGTTCAGAAAGTTTGGCTCTTCCGGTTTTTGTACTTTCACCAATAGCAACTGTATTTATACCATCACCCAACCATTTCTTAAGTTCTTTACACCAATTGCCGACCAAACTACATGGTGCGACAATAACAGCCTTTTTAGCAGTGGGCTCACCTTTTGGCCCTTGTTTTAATAGAGTCCACAAGATTGTAATGGCTTGAATTGATTTACCTAAACCCATATCATCTGCTAAAATGCAACCATTTCCTTTAAAGCCACCCCTAAAGCCTAATAGGCAATCGAAAACAAATTTTACACCCTCTCTTTGATGAGGTCTTAATTTAGCTGAAAGAATTGGATCTACGACAACATGGATTCTATTTTCACCAGTCATATCGACTGGGGTATATAATACTAATGAATTTGGTGCCAATGGGTTGTGTAATGGTTTGGTTAAACGTGCTGCTTTTTCCATGCCCTTTACTGGTACCTGAAACCCTTTGGGACGTCTTGCTGCTGCCAACATTAATTTCTTTTTCTCTTTTTTCTCTTCCTTTTTCTTTTGAATGATGCTGTCGGTCTTTAAGAAAATTGAACCATTCTTGTACTCTTCCTCGCTAACTGATAAAATAATTTTAATCCATTTATTACCAATATTCATGCCAAAATCCTCTTGAAAATAAACTTCTTTTTTTTTAATAAATACTTTTTGAAATTCTCTTTTTTCGTCATCATCTTCGTTTGATCTAGTTAACCCAGTTCTACCAATCTGTCTACCCTCCATACTCTGAATAACAGCTGAATCATATGAAACCTGTAATATACCTGTAATTAATAAAATTATAAAATTAATAATTGTTCCTTTTTTTTTTTTTTTTTAAAATTAAAATTTACCTAAACCGTCATCTTCTTCTGTTTTTTGTGTATTTTTATATTTAATTAAAAAGTATAATGGATCTGAATCAGGGTTCATTCTAGAATTCTTGCCCTTTTTAGTTTCTTCTTTGATAATAACCTCACCACTACTTTCATTTGAGGTGCTGCTAGATTCGTTTGATGTGGTTTCTTTCTTTATTTGATATTTTAATAAGTGATTGACTACTGGCATCGGTGCTTTCTTTCTTCCTTTTTTACCCTTTTCCTCCTCCACATTGATCTCTATTACTTCTGGTAAATCTAATCTTATTTTTTTATGTTCATATTGTGCTGATGGTGCATGAGATCTCTTCATTTTTTGATGGAAGTGTTTATTATTAAATAAAAATTAAAAATTGAAAATTGAAAAAAAAAACTAATATTTTTTGAATTTAAATATTTTTTTTAATTATTATTTATATTTCTAAAATTTGATTATAAAACTTTATTAAATGTTATTTTACTGAAATACTATTGTTCGTTTTTTTATTATTAGAAAAAAGTATATTTTATATATATCACACTGCTGTTTTGCAATTTATTATTCGTTTTTAAAAAATTAAATGAAGGAAAAAGGATTTTATTAAATACAATGTAAATATATACAAATAAACACAAATATAAATATAATACTAAAATAAATAAAGTTGGTTATAAGTTTATTTTGTTTGTATTATTATCTAATGAAAAAAAAATAAAAATTTAATTATTTTTTAAAAAAAAAAAAAATTTTATTTAAATTTTTTATTTAATTTTTTTCAAAAAAAATGAATTTTACAAGTATTCCCATTTCTTTTATTTTTGTATCTCTTTTAAAAAAAGTTCTTAGAAAATTGATAAATAACCTATTTAATTAAATAATTCAAAAACATGATCACCCATTCAAATATTTATTTCCTTTATTTAGTTTATCGATTATTATTTTCGTTTTGGTAATCAAAAAAAAATAAAAATAAAAATAAAAATAAAAAAAAAATCTGATATTATACAAACAAATGCATAAAAAAATAAAAAAACTTTATATAGAATTATAAAAATAAAAATACAAAAATATTAAAGAATATTTCAATTTACTCTTTTTTTATAATATCTGCAATCAAAAATCTGAAAAAAAAAAGTAGTAGAAATTTTGTTAGATAAAATTTTTAATGAATAAAGGAAAAAGGAATATTTAAAAAGAGAATAATAACTATTTAATAAATCATATATAACTCACACTCTATTAGTGGATATATAGATTAAAAATAATTAAAACATTTAGCAATAATACAAATTGAAAATATAATTATAAATAAATATATAATTAATTTATATTGCTCATAATTTCAATTTTATTACTATTTTCTAATCATCTGCAAAATAAAAAATAAAAATAATAATAATAAAGAGAAAAATAAAAATAACTAAATGTTATGTCAAAATAACACTATATGATTATGATGATGTAAAAATGCTATATTAGTATCTATCACCATAACACTATATAAATATTTATATATTTTATTTTTATTTAATTCCAATAATAAAAATAACAGTTTTCAATATTTAAGAAAAGATAATAAATAAAGTACATCAAAAAACTATAATCACTACATGTTAATGTCTGGGCAATATAAATACACATACAATATAATAATAGCAATTCAACCAATTCAGCAATCAACTATCAAAAACCCATTTATTGCTACTATTTTTAACAATATTAATAATATTATTAAATTACACCTATATATAATCTTTAATTATTATAATAATATTTGATAATAATGAATATACAACTGGCAATCTTTAAACGTTCACTCTAACTCTATGTTTGATAATATTAATAGTATATGGGGGTAGAGTGTGTTTGTGTGTTTGTGTGTTTGTGTGTTTTAGTGAGAGATTGTTGTTATTGTAAAAGTAATTATAGTAGCGGTAGTAAAAATAAAAAAATTATGATAATACAATTTGAATGAATGTATTCTTTTTTAAAATAGTGGATACTAGCTACTCTATATTTTACCTACACTTTTATTTTCCATTTCAAGTTATTATTCTCACATATTCTAATATGTACAATTTGTTTTTTATTTTATATTATTTTATTTTATTTATTTATTTTATTTTTAAATGTATTAATTTGGATTCACACATTCACCCTCGATACATTGATATATAATAAAAATTAGATAATTTAAAAACTCTCACCCACATAACTTAATTTTTACCCACACACCAAAAATATAATTTTAAAATTAAACACACACTCACACAAAAAACACATCACTCTCCTATATATTAATTATATCTAATTGGTTTTATTATTTTAATTCAACTTAAATTTATTTTAAAAAATATCGGATACACTAAACACACAAACAAAATAATAAAAAAACAACACAAATTTCAATTAAAATTTGGTGATATTAAAAATATCTTTCGAAAAAAAAAAGATTTTTGTTGTGTTATGTGTGATATCGATAATAATTATTTTTTTCACATTAACAAATAATTAACACAAAAAGATAATTATTTTTTTATTTTAATTTTTATTTATTTTGTTTTTATATTTTTTTTTTTTTTTTTTTATTTAAATAAATAACATAAGCGTTGTCAATTTGCTATTAAACAAAAAAATAATATTAAATAATATATACATAAAAAAAAACCAAAAAAAAACCAATAAAAAACTAATATTATAAAATAATAATAAATTTAAATTAAATTTATAAAAAAAAAGAAAAGAAAACCTTTATCACCATAATAGCCATATATATCATTTATTTTATTTATTTTTTCAGTATTTTTTTTTATAATTTTAAATTATTTTTTTTCAATTTTTTGTTTTTTTTTTAATAATTTAAAATTTTATTTTTTTTTAATTTTTTTTTAATATTTTTTTAATTTTTTTTTCTTTTTTTTTTTTTTTAAAATTTTAAAAATTATTTTTTTAAAAAAAAAAAAATTTCACAT